TGTCTTTATATATTAATGGTATACTTCCATTATTGAAAATAAGGTGCAGTAATCAACAGGTTGCTTTCATGAGAAATACAGTAACAATATTTGAATCTCAAACCAGCGTCTGTTTTTGAAATACGTTGACTTTGTAGTTTCTTGTAAACTGCCGAAGCGAGGCTGAGACTTAAATGTAGATATTTTCCAGTAATTATTCAGTTCATAATCCAGATAGTTAATTTTAAACCTCTACAGGTCAAGTATTAAGGAAAGAAATAAAATTTCGTTTCCGCTCGTTTTGCCTCCGATTGTGTCTAGAAGTTGAATCATTTTGACTTTTTCCTGTGAATTTTTTACCAGGGAGTCCTAAGTAGTGCACTCTGTTTTTACGTTATAAAGAAGTTCGTCTTTAAGTATACAGTTGTTTAAATATCCCTCATGTTCATGATCACTTTCATAGCTTATGAAGGTGAGGATCCCATACTTTCTCTTTTATTGATTTTCATGACACATCGGTCATTTGTGAGACCTTCATAGTGCCCAGCTATGTTTGTGAACGAACACTCAACCATGCTGCCAAAGGCATTGAGAGAACTATTTGTGGTATTCTTGTCAGATAGTAGCATAAGGTTATCCAGTTATAAATGCTGGACCGATATATGTTAGTTAAGTGAATTTTGCTTATCAAAGTTTGTCTGAAATCAGTGCTTTCAACAAATTTTGTGCTAACTATTTCAATTGAAAACTGAGATTAAAGTACTGTAAATACATGTATTCATATAGAAATATGAGTATTTTAAATGGAAGGTCTTTGTATATTCGTTGTTTTGAAAATAGTCAAGTCATAAAGGTCGACATCGATATTCCTGGTAGTAACAGCCAAGAATTCACTTGTCGCCCTTGATTAAATATAAGTACTGAATTCCCGGGTTCTCGAGAAATTGACTATTAATTAACGTTCTTGTGTCAGCGTGTATGCATGCACTGGATTATAGGCCGTTCTTTTGCTGTGATCACCGTGAAAATTTGCTTAGTTCATGGCTAAGAACCAAAGTGTAAAGTAGCATATTATACACAATTTTTTGATGACGTATAAGCAATGTTTTATGGCTCATTAAGCGTTTTCAGACGTGTTGAATAGTGAGAAATTTGCTATACTATCATACTATATGAATGGTATCGCGAAATGAACTGAAAACGGTACCTAACTGTTGCTACAGCGGTCGTGGTGGGCATGTGATAAATCCGACATCACGTTGTTGCTGAAGTTTTAAACTAACCTCATGTTCTCGTATCTTTCTGAACTGGTTATGAAACTTGTCAAAAAAAGAAAGTTGAAAGTCGAATATTTACTGCTTCAAAGAGATCACATCAAACTCGATGTTTCATCATAATCGAGACGGAAGCAATAATTAATTAACATAAAACCCATATTTGATAAATAAGAATATATACAGTGACTAGAAGAAATGCATAGGATATCACAGTGTGTGTTATAGATGGCTGAATCAAAATTGAGACAGTGCAACGCTGTTTTGCATCTAGCATATCCAGTTAGTGCTGACGGATAGCCATAGCCTCCGGTTCTCTGAACGTTTGTGCTTTAGCTAGAACAATGGATCTTCTAAACAGTTCGGTTCGAAAAGATATACTGAGATTGAATGATCTGATGGACGAAGTTTGCGACTGGCACAGGACAGATCTGTTTTCAGGCGGTTGATCGGCTTATCCAGAATCTGCCTGACCATTTGTACACTTTGAGTGGCAAGAGATTTGGCTAGCGATATTGCAAGGTCGCTGTAAATCAGACCTCCTAGGTTGGAAGCTAAATTTACTGACGTCCTGATAATGTTGTAGTCCCACGGCTGCTGCGCAGCAGCAGCATACGTAAAGAGGGGTATGGTACAGCCGAAGACGAGGTTTTTAACTGCATCTCGCGGCATTTCCTGAATTGAAGAAGTTGTGATTTGTTGTTTTTGCTTTTTTTCCGACAATTAGTATACCAGTATTTTCTTTTATCAGATATATCCTGGAAAACGGAACCGTAAGACAGTCGTTTGACTTGTACTTTACTCCGCAGCGCATTTTACTTGGGCTATCGGGAGAAATGTTATTGGTAACAATTTGGCAGTATGGGTGTGGGGCTGTTGATGATTTCGGCAATCGTTTTTTAAGCGAATTAGATTATTGTTACCGATAAACTACTTAAGCGGCAGCATGACATCACAACAGCTTCGCCCCACAGAATTAGGTGCGAAAGTTAACCTGGCTCACTCTGAAATAGGTTCGTGAGAATCGAGCCGAAAAAACATCTGTATTGGCCAATCACCTGATTGACCAGCTTGCTTGAATGAATTTTATATAAATAAGCAGTTTATGCAATTTTCAGTTTTCAGTATGAACCCCAATGTACGAACAAAATATTCATTCTTCATGAAGTAAATCAAAAGATTAGATTAGGTTCTTAAAAATACTGCTTTTGTTATTTATCACGGTGGGTATTAATGGGTTGTCCTCTTACTCATATTGTACGTAAGGTTGCCTAACGTTTCGGATTGTATTTATACCTTAATGATACATACTGTGGATTCCGAAGCATCGCCGAAATTGTATATACTATATCTATGCAGAGTGAATCCTCCGAATTTGATTAAGAGTAGTGTTTAAGGTATTTGTCACACATTCACTCTTTCATCTCGCTTTGCCTTCAAGCGGATTTGGCGGAATGTTAGTAGTGATGATCTAAAATTCGACACCACATCCTTAGTGTGTTTCTATAGTTTGATAGCCTAGTTGAATGCAGCGGAACAGAAATCGTTTACCGACGAAAGTCTGGACTAAGTTGAGCGATTCACGCATAGGTATTAGTCATGTATTTATTAGCCACACTGTTTCTACTGGCCTTTTTAAATCCAACTTCAGTTTCTTGCGATATACAACCAAAATTTATCATGTATATCAGTGGCAGATGC